ACGTGATGCACCTCTAATATCCAACTTGTCGGAACGATATTTTGTGAACCAATTTTAGTACCAGTTGCAACCAGTTTTCTGCCAGCACATCTTCTTCATACAAATACAAGAATGTTTTTTTTTGCTTGAATAACGTTTTTACATTATCCATAGCTCGTAAGGCACCATACAACAGCTATTCCGTAGAATAAAAGAGTTTTTTAAAAAAAAAAAACACTATCGGGAGAAAAAATTTCCGAACAATCTAATATATTACTATCAGTAGAATAATCGGATTCATGGTATAAGCTGTATGTATACATATATATATATATATATATATATATAAGCGGATATAAGCTTCTACTTGAGATCTGTCATTGTTACACTTTGGTTCAAATTTTGTTCGAACTCGAATGCATCGTTACTATAGGCAACGTCACTGCAATTTTCACAGACTTTTCTCGAGTGCAAAAGATTCAACTCAGATATGCGTCAATTTGGCGTAGGACGGAAGGACGGTTGCCTTAAAGTATATGTGGCCCGTGAAATTGATTGTGGTGCAGCCATTTTTTAACATTTTTCAAAAATATTTTTTTTTTTTTTTTTTTTTAATATTCCAAGATCCTTTTAAGCAACTTTATTTTTGTTCTATACTACTCTTTTCTACTCTTTTATCCCAAAAATTGGATATACAACGGTTTCCCCCTTTAATGATAACGATATTTAATTGGTCAATATATGATTGCTTAATTTTTGGAAAGAAAGTTGTCTACATGCAATCTTTTATGTTCAAGTTAAGTAAGAGTTAAACAGCGTCAGGCAGATTTTTTTTTTAAGATAATAGAGGAGAAAATGTTCTAACATCTTTCAAAGCTTCGTTTCTTATAATTTAATGTTGTCTTATAATAGTTTGGCTTTTTTCTTTTTTCTGTTTTTTGTTTTTTTTTGTTTTTGCTGGCCTTTTTCCATAGTCTCTTTTATCTTTTTATGGTATGATGTTGTTGAAGTTTTAGCTTTGTTTTAGTTTAGTCTGTGTTCGGTGACGTTAACAATGGAACCATATAAACATTACATAATTTATGGTTCATTGCGGTCAAGCAAAGAACTCAAATGGCGATAATTTACTGTGTGTTTAGTTACATGAAAATAAAAAAAATAAAAAATAAAAAAGATAAAAACAGACAATTAATTTATAAGTGAGAACAATTAAGTAAATGTTTAACCAAAAGTAACGTTGTTTCTCTCGTTTTTTATCTATCTCTTTCTTATTCTTATTAGTTGAATGAGTGTTAACGATCTTAAAAAATGTTTAGGACTTGTAGTTTTTTGTATATATATTAGGGGGCGGTCAACCATTTTGTGGATCCAAACACTTTTGATTGTAATGTGGTTCAAAGCTTTTTTCAATATTTAGTCCAAAGACTCTGCCATTATTTGTCGACAACAATACATGCACAGTCGTGCATCGTACAGAAATCGTTAAAACTTATTACGAAAAGAATAAACTCCTGTTTACGTTTCCTGCATATAGGATAGGGCTCATATTTGCTTAAATGGATTCGTGAATAAGGATTGTCGGCCATTTGGCCTAAGAAAAATACATTTCAGGTACTTAAAGGATTTTTTTTGGATACAAAATTAACTTCCGGATGGGATTTACGGGCTTAATACGACATTTTTGTGCGTGAAAATGTCATTGCGGGTACCCTCAATGGGTAACGCTACAAAAGAAAGATAACTGATTTTTTGTGGCGGGAATTGTGGCACAATTTATCACGAGAAATGTTCAACGATCACGTAATCGCCAAAAATGCCTATTGAACGTTTCACTTTAAGATAATTTTGCAGGGTTGGCTCACTCCCATTACCCACGAACTCTTAATGACTTTATTCGGCAAGATTATCCGTGTCATTCATGGTATAAGGGCGGGTTTATATAGAAAAGTCATTCTAATAAAAATGACGTGAAACACTATCTAAAATAAAATAGTATTCACGTGGTCGTACCTTTTATTGTTTTGTTTTTATTACAAATTAAAGATAAACATGTACGAATCGTTTATCTTTACATTCACCGAATCTTTTATGCTTGCCAACGTTAACTTCGACTAAAAGAGGAGACACAAATTAAATTTTCACTGTCCATAATATCGGCTGGACGTGGATGATTTTTTCTATTTTTCGATTTTTGCTGCATTATGGGCGTGTCCTTTGACCGATTTCGATCATTTTCGAATTCTTTTACGAATTTGTAGGCGATACCTTCATTTTTCCGCACGAGACGATGCTTACCACAGATATTATACAGTTGCTTAGACGGGGAAATGGACAGAGGTATATTACGATTTTGACACTGATCAAGAATTTGGGTACATTAAGGGGTTTTTGAATATTGCTTTTGCGCATTGCAATGAAATGAAATTTTCATAAATACCAATCTTGGCTAGAAGCTGATCGACTTTCTCCATTTTTGTACAGATGCTACGACATCGCTCATAGAATATACGTTTGATAGTTTTATTTTTGCTGCCAGGAGAATGCTTACACCCCACATATTACACAGACGAACAGACGGACATGCTTAAAGCGATTCGGAATTTGCTGCTGATCAAAAATTTATATAATTTGTGAGATGTCTGAAGTCTCCTTGTGGCTGTTGCAAACGTTTTAACAAAAAGAGTACACCTCTTACCCATCGGTGCTGAGCATAAAATTGAAGCTGCCGACTTTAAATTTGGCCCAAACATTGAAAGTTCTTATGCACAGTTTGGTATTAAAAATGGTCTAAATCGATCGCGGGACATACCTACCGTACCATGTAAACTTAGAATACCTCCCGTTTTTCAAAAGCAATAAAAAATTGGTTTCTTGATCATTGTTTACAAGCAACGGCAGAATAATCTAAAAAAATTTAAACAAACATTCTATGGATGATGCTGTAGTACTTATATAAAAATGCGAAAGATTGATCACGTCTGCTCACGATAACAGTGTATCAAAATTTAAACTTTCTCCAATACTTTTGAAACGCTCAGAACGAAACTTCAAAAACCTGATATTGTTTACGAATTCTTGTCAAGTATCAAATTTAGAATGAACCTAAGTATGTCTCTTTGTGCGTCTGCGCATGTATCTGTCTACGCATTTGTGCAATATCTGTGATGCACATTCTCTCATTCGCAAATATGAAAAGATCGCCTAAGAATTTGCAAAGTAGTTTGAAAATAATCTAAGGCAGTCAAAGGACATGCCTGGAACGTCTACACTTCTGCACAATAAGAACTTCGCACACTTTTGCTTTACGTGTTTTTTGCATGTTACTCATAAAGGACAACACATACATCATGTAAATGTTTGCCTTTATGAAAATATGAAAGTTTTGCTTCTTTTCTTTTTTACGCATTTTTTGGTACAGCGGTGATGAGTCCGGTCTAAAAATTTCGTTCGTTGTGTCTTTTATTTCATTCATTATATATTCTTTTATATTATATTCTTTATATTTATATTCTATTATATATTCTTATAGAAATTAAGTTTATTTAATTTTTTTTATATAATTTCGTTTATTTTTATACGAATTAGCGAAGGATGAAAGTTGGCGAATAGAATATAGTATGCGTAATCATAACATATATAATATTACAGCATCTTGAATACGAAAGAAACCTATGAAAAGAATCGTATCCATGAAATGAATGGCGTGAATTTACGAATCGATTAATTTCATGTAAGCGATTGCTGGATTGCTGACTTGACTATGAAAAAACATCTGTCGGGGTTATTTCACTTTCTCATTTATTGCGGCCGCGCGTATTGGCATGTTAGATCCAATTGTTAAGCTCAGCTTTTTAAACGATCAAGGAATTCTGTTCTCAAATTTCAGCTTCCTAACTTCAATTTTGCAACTATGGTAATTGCATAAAATAGTTGAGTCAAACTGATCCGGATTGACGGATAGTGGATAGATTAATGGGCAGATTTAGTGGGGGTTTGGCGTTAACCGAACAGAGAAAAGGTTTCGTGCAATTCTTTTATTATAAAGTCGAACTCTTTTATGCATTTACCATCGTTGCCATTAGGGTTCCCAGAGCTGACATTTTAATGGGCAGTTGTTACATATAACATGCAGATATTAAAGCGGTGATACTTTTACATACATATTATAAGCAAAACTCTTTACGTACACTTACGATTATATTTATGTCGTTATTGGTGAAAGTTCGCTGAATATCGAAAATATTTTCTAGGGAAAACTGTTGATGTCTCGTTAGATGAAGTGTTAGTCAAGTCTACTAATTAGATGGGCCTAATGCGACTTGTTACTCTGAGAAAGTTCATATATGAAAATAAAAAAAGATTTCGATTCATACCATATCTTACATAGCACATACGCTCTTAACTCGAGTCAAGTAATTTTTTTTCTTTTCATTTTCCAAGACAATAGATAACAGTAACGACAATAACGAATACTTAGACATTTGTCGTAACTTTGACTAATGAAGCACTTGATTAACCTCAATCCTAACACTAATGAAACTAAACCGCTAAACGGTTAATGAACTTGCTTAAATGAATGTAATTCTAGAAATAAAAATAAAAAAATATATATATATATATATATATAAAAAAGGTAAAAAAGATATAAATATTGTAAATAAAGGTTTCGCGAGCAAAAAGAAAAACTTTGCTAAAAGGTGTGAAAATTGAAAGAGGAAAGCAAACGTATGTTGTGTCAATTAATGATGGACGATGAATAAAAAGTTTGCATTAAAAAATGAATGAAGGAATGAATGAATGGATGAAGGAATGAATGAAAGCAGCAAATGAACGCAAATGTATTCTCAACGTATCGTAAGGGTAACATAGCATTTCTTTTTGAAGCCTGTTGATTTTGAAATGTATGAATGAAATGATGAGTGCTTCGATGATGAAAATAGAAGAGATGTAGAAGCGAGATTCAGTGAAAATGAAAGAAAAATAATAAAAAAATAAAAAATAAAAAAGCAACACTTACTTACCCCTCCCACCTTCCGTATGGTAAGGTGACGTGGAGTCATGTGAGTTGCGTTCAGGAGCTGTGTTTTGTGTCTCTAATATATTACTGATACGTGGCGGAATTTCTGGAAAGAAGAGAAAACAAAAAAATAAACGCATATTTACATATACCTAACCATGCTTTCGTCTTTCATTTGATTTGATGAAGGGGTGGCTTACTTATGCAAGGAGCAATGTGTGAACGGCTTTGTTGGTAACCGCGAGCACACCGATTACACGTGAGACCTGTCACACCGTCTTTACAGGGACATTGACCCGAAGTGTGATTGCAAGTTTTACCAGTCGATCCAATTGGATGGCATTCACAAGCTGCAACGGAAGTGTATAAAATATATCGAAGATCATATAAAATTCTTTGACTGGATAATACATCATATATATAGTATATAATAAACGTTCAATATCGTTTCATACATTTTCAATTCAATTCATTTCTATGTGCACACCACAGTGAGGTGAATATTGATTACGTCAAATGCTTGCAAGCTAATACATAGGAATATGCTTTATTTATTTATTTTTTTTTTATTAAAGCCAATTGAATTTTGAGATTAAGTTTTCTGATTACTTCACATTGTATTTGGAAGCATTTTTTTATACCGTATATCGGCACCGGTGGTGCAAGGGTACACCAAGTTTATATGGATGTATGTAACACCCATAAATACTTAAGATACACCCATCTTTTATTATGCTGATTTGAAATCATTTTCTGAATCGAAATAAGCTTGTCTGTCCGCCTGTCCATTTTGTTTTTTGTTTTCAATCTACAGACCACAATAGTCGACAAATTTTGATGGAATCAGGTACACTGACGTGTTCTGTCCGATAGACTAACGCTATTGAAAATCGGTCGGATCGTACCACTTTTTTCGCCGTTTCGCACATAACGACTTATTTGAAGAACTACGGGATTGTGTAGGGCCGTGATTCCCTACAGTGGTTTTACTTCTTTACTGTACTTTAAATTCAAGTTTAATGTTAAAAAAAATTATATTTGTAAATTCCGAAGTTAATCATTATATCAAAATAAATCCTTTTCGTTTTATTAACGAACCTTACCATGACGGTCCTTATATTCTCTCAATATGTTGCTAAGTTTCGCTATGCATATACATTGTGCATCCTTTAGACAGCAGCTCATTATTTAGAAAGTGTCTGTCAAGAAGAAGGTTTGGAAATATGCGCTGCCACCTGAGTTTCGACGATAATGGCACGCGGTCAGTCGTGTGTAAATGTTTATATATATATTTTATTTATTTATGTATATATATAAATTGTTTTTTTTTTTTTTGTAAAAAACAGAGCTAGTGACAATTGAATGTAAATGTGATTCTTAAATTTAGTGCTTTAGCGGGTTAAATTGAAAAATGATACCAATGCGTTAAGTGTGAAATTAAATTTCTGCCTTCTTTTGGTCAATGAAAAAATTTTAATTTCAATAAAAATGCAAAAAAAAAAAATAAAAAATAAAAACATAAGAAAATTATATTCGGTTATGACTGCCTATTCTTTACCCATCACCATTACCCTAAAAGGACAAAAACACTAAAAGACCTTAATTTCCATGTTCAATAATATGCAGTGCGCGCGACATATTTTTTTGTAATTTTTTCAGTTGCGCAGACAAACAGATGGACAGACAAACAGACTGACATATTTAGGTTAATTTCAAATTTAAAATTGGCAAAGAATTTAAATTTGTTTTCGGATCTTTGAAGTTTGTTTCTGCGCCCTATAAAGATATTGAAAATAGATTAAACTTTGATATTAATAAATATATAATATTGGATATGCGTGGTCTGTTTTTCCCCTTGTTGTACAGGTGCTACGGCATCGCCCATAGAATATGCGTTCAAATTTTTTTAGATTTATCTTCTGTAAATTGTTGATTCCTCACGAAAAACATAGATGTTTTGACTTTACTGGGCACTTGAGCCCAGTGTGAACTTCGACCGATTTGCCCCATTTGCAAGATCAATCTGTGTGCAAAAAACATCCAACGGTGGACAAACCTACGGGGAGACAGAGGGACATGCTTAAATCGATTTAGAATTTGATGCTGATCTAATATATATATACTTTATGGAGTCTCTGATGCTTCCTTCGGTACATTGCAAAAGTTTTGACAAAATGAGTACACCCGCCATCCTTCAGTGATTTGTATAAAATTGGTTTAATTAAAGTATTATTCAGGAGCGACTACTTCTTGTATCGTTTACGCAGAATGCAAATTACGCGAGGGTAAGATAATGGGCTCTTTAAGGCTGTACACAAAAAGATACATATTTCGAGTATCGTCTTAGGAATGAGACAGAGAAAACAGAGAGAGAAAAGCACCGGCAGTAAGCTTCAGGTTAGCAAAGTTCTTCTGAGCGGCTTTTGTTAATAAATTTTTCTTTAAACTGAAGACTCGTATTTGTCACAATTGCATGAATTATCGTTGGTAGCCTTTCCTAGTGACCGTTTCATTTCGTTGGAATAAAACATTATGTATCTACCTCAGCTAACACCTCTAAATGGAGCCATCATCGATGTTCAATTTCAATTGCTATAGTTTTCCTCGTCTTTTTAGAAAAAATATTTTTGCATTTTAATATGCGTTGATACTATGACTGTCTATTGGTAATAAATATCGAAGCTATAAAAGATTTAGCTTCCGGCGTACACGTGTACTACATGTCCAACTATATATATTTATTAAAATAACAATTAGTGGGCCACGCCTCCTATTATATATCCCACATCACTTCGTTTAACACAGTTATTTATACAACGAATTTTTAAAATAAGGCGTTATATTGAAAGTGAACGAGAAGGCGGTCTAGTTCTAATCATGGTCAAGGCTAGGCGCGCCAAATTTCATGTGGGTAGAACACAAAAAAGCCGGAGGGACCAGTGGATAATCGAACGGATTGACATATGGACAGACAAGCTTGGAACTGACCAGAAAATGATTTTGAAACAATCGGTTTAACAAAGCATTTCAAGTCCGTACATACGCATAAAGTTAATATCCGCTTGTATATTGGATTGTGGCGTAGGCTGTAGTAAATAATGTGATAATTTTACAGAATTTATGCTTTTTATTAACTAGTATTAACTGATTAGTATTAACTTTGATTAAACGTAGGCTCTAATAGACATACACGCTTATATAACGTTTAAATTTTGAAATCTAACAAATAACGACAAAGTTTTCATGTCGAGAACATATGTGTTTTCACAAACACTAAACAAAAGAATGTGAAGCAAAAAGTTTTCCAACTACTTACATAACAAAAATAATGCTTTTTATCGCCTTAACTAACGACACGGAAAAATCAAATAAATAATAATTATGTCGTATTTTACGGAACAGATTATTAGTATGGCATTATCATAACTTCAACAGCCCAAGAGTGTGTCTAGGAACTCTATAATGGAAATGTTAAAATTTGTGTGTGTTAATAAAACAACAGGAGAAACATTCTGTTTAATTAGATTAACCTAGAACGTTACATTTAACCTTTCATGTCTTTCATGTCCCAGTATGGGAACCAATAAGCTTCAATCTACGTCATTACAATGCTTCCGTCTGCGATGGAAGAAGTAGCGAAGAATCCCCACTGAAACTGGATCATTAAAGATATATGTGTAAAGTTTTAGAAAACTACGATTCGTTAAAATTTTCTCTCACTACCCTTTTATAAAGCGGAGGAAAAGTTAGGACTTAGTCTGGATATCAACTCTAACCTTTAAATCGAAAGGAACACTAAAGTCATTAAAACTTCATATAATATCCAGCATACGATTTTCGATACTGCAAAGTGCAAACCATTCTCGATTATTTTTACTATATTTATTTTATTAATTAACTTATCATTAAAACAAATGAAAACGCTATAGTGGTAGTGGGGTTATTTTACAGCTCGCTACATGATCGCTAATAACCATTACCTTTGCCAAGGTGAAGATTTGTTTGTTGTCTGAATTTTTTTTAAACAATTAAAGGGAGTTAATGAAATGTGTTATATCAGATATGGTTTAAGTAATTGTTACAACCAAAATTAAATAGACCATTGAGCTAACTCATCTGCAAAGTCATTGCCGGGAGTACTAACATCTCTAGGAATCCACATTAGGAGGGTATTAGGATTTTTTTAAACGCAATGTTCTCCTAATGAAGATGAACGTGAAGAGAGAGGGTCATTATGTCTAATATTCTTTTGTAGCGTCTAACAGTAAAAACCAAATCCATCCATACCGAAAATTTCTTGTGTAAGCACGGGAGGTACAGTCATTATGTCACAACTCAGAAGCAAAGTCCAGAAGGCAGCTTCAAAGACCCCACAAAGTATATTTATTCTTGATCAGCGTCAAATTCGAAGTCGATTTGAGCGCAGCTGGCTGTCCTAAATTTTTCAAAGGACAGTCCCACAACGCTCACGCGTCTATGCGACAAAAACTTATAGTTTGAATATAAGAAAAATCAGCATCGTCGACTCCATGTTAAAGAGTGTGAAAATTTTCTTCTTTCACTTTTTCTGTCTCTTCAGGAGAACGGTGGTGGATATAACATCGAATTGGTCACGATCGTATATAATTTTCCGATTTGTTTTAATCAGCGCGGCACCTGCAGCACTAATCTCAGCAGTAAATCTAGAGGAATGGCTTGGAATTAGCGATAGAGTTATTAGATAGCTGACAGGAATGATATTGAGTGAGGCGGGGTGAAGTTTTATAATGGGTGCATATAGGGTCGTCTCTCGACTAAGAGAAAACAAACGTTTAGAGATTAAGTAAAATTTCTGTTTGTTATGGCCATCATAGCGGTAGCTAGTAAGGAGCAATTTCTAATAATCTTTTGAAAAGTGGCCAGTTCTCTTGGAATTTGCCAACTTTTTGATAGTCTGCTGATAAAAGAATAATTTGGTGAATCGAAATTCTAAAAAGGAATTTTCATAAATTGAAGAACTCCGTTAAGTTTAATCGTTCCAGTTAGGACAACGTTTGCCTTATAAAGCAATTTATTTATTGCCGTAGTGCGCAGTACTCCAGGCGAGACGCGGAGATCAGAATTATAAATTATAATTTGACAGCTTTAGATACAATTGCCTGTTGAAATATTTTGTCTGGAAAAACAAGTTTTTTATTTTATAACTCTCGTTATATAATGATACGATTACGTATCATGTGTGTGTAAGTGTAGCGAACGCAAAAAACACCGGAAATTTGTACGGGGTTTAAATCAAAGTAGAAAGGAAAGTTCAAGAAAAGGAAAGCTAATTATTTGCAATTAGATGAAAAGTTCCAGAAAGATTATCTGT